GCGGCGGCGGCGGCGGCGGCGGCGGCGGCCGGGTGCTTGCTGCACAGCAGGCTCCGAAAATAAGCAGGGTCCGAGTGAAAAGCAACGTAGTTTCCCTGGAGCGGGGCAGTTTCATAGTTTAGAGGGGGTTTGCAAGGCGAGCGCACGATTTCCGGGTAGTGCGAGCCCGGGTATTTGCTAAAAATCTGAGGTAGATGGGCGGCGGGGCGCGCGGCGGCGGCGCCCGGGCGCGGGGACTGCGCGCTGATTGGCAGGGGCCGCGCGGATCCGCTCAGGCCCCGCCAAAGTTGGTGCTTGTCCTTCCAAAAACCCGGGCGGGGGCTGGCGGCGGCGGCGGCGGCGCGCTCTGGCGGCGGCGCCTTTGTGGCCAGGGCCCGGCCGACCCTCCTGCGCTTGGTCTTGAGGACACGCTCGGTTTTGCAGGAGGTGTAGAGTGCTTCCACGTCTTCCCGGGAGATGAGAGTGCATTTGGCGGCGTGGAATGCGATGCTGTTGATTGCCTTGAGTTTCCGCAACTCCTCCAGATCGCAGTGGTGCTTTTTCACTTTCAAATGATCCATGCGCTTGTGCACGGTCGTCCTCGGGATGTTCTTCAGCAGATCCGTGAAGACTTGGGAGAGGGCAAACATTTGCTTTCCTTTAATGATGAGGTAGCCGAGCCTCACGCCATCCACCTCTTCAAAACCTGACTTCAGGTCTCCCATCTCGGGCACTAAATGATCCCCACCATTTGCAGTAAATATATACGTGACGCATACATACACATGTATGTATGTTAATCCTCCACCAGATGCTGCGTGTGTCTCAAGGCATCCTGCTAATAAAATAACAAAGACTGTTATTCCCGGCGAAGGGAGTGCCAAACTCTAGGCAAAATTATTGGAAAAAAAACAAAACAAAACAAAACATGAAATTACACTGACTTGATTCTTGCTTTTTTTTTTGGTTTTCGTATTTTTTTAAAAAGAGGGAAAAAACCATCCGGTTTCTGATCTGCCAGTGTGTTGGTCTAAGTCCCCGATGCAGATCAGTACCTGGGCCCCTCTATTCCTTCCTTCTCCATTGGAGCACTATGATAATGGAATGTGAAGGGAGAAAGAGAAAAGAAATGCAGCTGCTATTCCCGCCGCTGCTTTAGCTACAAATAAAATGACAGAGTGAAGTGAGCTCGTCCGGAGACACCTTCATCAATTAATTCCCCTAAAGCCAGCGCTGATTGGACACTCCTGACAGGTGATGCAATAAAAATTGATATTCCACCCCTTCCCCCCAAAATCTCCCACTAATTAGCATACCCTTATACTGCCACCTCCCCTCCCAAAGTAAATAATACAGTCGGTATATAAATCTTTCCATTAAACTATCGGAGCACAGAAACAGCCTGACACACAGTCTTCATCTGAACTATTTTGTTTAAAAAAAAAAAAAAAAAAAAAAAAAAAAAAAAAAAAATCCCTGTATATTCGCCTTTAAAGGAATATTGCCTATTTTTTCCTCTATTTGCATTTTACCGCTGCAGCTATTATCATTTCAAAGAAAAGCATTTTAAAAACATTATCAAGCCTAAATAGACATACCCCACCCCCTTTTCCTTGGGAAAATGGAGCTTAAGCGAAAATGTGCAGAATAGCCTGGTATTTCCCTTATGGGAGTGGAGGAGACCGGCTGGGAGCTCCAAAGTTAAACCCGCGCAGTGAACCACCCCAGTACAGACTTACGTTTTGAATTTCTCTCGATTTTCCTTTTTTTTTTTTTTTTTCCTGAAATGCCTTTTACAACCAGAAACAAAGTTATTTGACCAAGGAAGCAGTTCAAGGCTCCAGCTCCGAAACACTGTAACAATTCAACTGGATTTGGGTTCTCTGCTGGGGGGTGGGGTGGGGACGAGGTAGCTGCACGTCAGACCCATAACAAAGCATAGATAAGCCAGAAATGTGTACACTTTTCACAATTAACCAGGCTGGATTAGAGGCCAGATCGTCCTAGAGTCCCCAGCACAGCCTTTGCCAGGGTCCTGTTCACCACAGGTCAGAATTTCAGGGAGCAGACTGCTTCTGCAGCGAAGAATAGAAAATGTAAAACGCCCAAGGTGCTTCCAGAGGTTTTACGTAATAACGATGAAAAGAAAGTGCTGATGTACGATGCAGACTATTCCAGTGGTCTGTGATGCTTTCGGTTGCGAGTTTAAATGAATCTTCCACAACTCTCATTTTTTCCATGAAAGCCAAGCATCTGCTTAAAAAAATAATCACTTTGGATGAATATCAATGCTGTTTAACCTCTTCTTAGTCGAGTTAAGGCACATTTTGGTGTCTTTTCAAGGATATCCAAAATATTGCCAAATGAGAGCAAGGGTCTTCCCAGTTGCATTATCAGGATCCCAAGGTGGTTTGTTGGCTCCTTTGCAAAATTCGGCAAAATCTTCTTAACTGTTCGGTGTTTGCAACTACAGCATAAATGCAACCCAGGCATTTATATGTTTCCTTGTTCCTCCCAAAATAGACACATCCGTGTGGTTAAAAGAATAAACGGATATTTCTGAGCCTGCAAGAAAAGAATTGTACAGTAATTTCTTCCTTCCCATTCAAAAGTTCCAGTTTCCCCTGCTCTGGTCTGGCTAGCACAAGCAGGTATGGCTCAAAAGAAAAGGGAAAAAAAGATAAAAACAGAGGAATCAGACATATAAAAAGGTAGTTTGCATGAAATCTCGGCCATAGTTCCCCACCCCCACCCTCATCTCCCTAGTAATTTCCCAGGAATTTTGAAGAGAATTGGGAATTTCAAGAAGTGCATCCGGAAATTAAGGAAGTCTATTTAAGAGAGTCTGTAACTCAGAGGTTGGGATTTGAAAAGTCAGCCCTGGACTACTGTTGCACTCAGCACAGATGTAATCGCCGCTCTTCAACTTAATCAATGTGTGTACAAACCACGATGTCTAGTTCTTGCCTTTGAAATCTAAGGCTAGCATTTCCATCCAAGAAATCAGAGCTACAGCAAATTACATTTTTGTCCCTTGAATGAGAGAAGGATCATTGAATGGATCTCGTGATATTTCAGGCTTTAAACGTAACCGAGAGGCAGCAATGAACAATGCCTCGTCACAGCTAATACCATCCACCGAGTTGGCTTTCTTTTGCATCTGGATCTATCACACCGCGTTTTTCTCTTTCACTTTCACAGGAGGCAAAATGCAAAAGGTTTAAGTAGAAAGCAAAGTTTCCAGAAAAAGCAGATGCTGGTGTTTGTTTTTTAAAGTCTAATGACCAGAGTCTTTCCACTGCCAGCGACAATAATGTCGTTTTAAAATTCCTCCTGATGCACTTATATACTGGCAGCTCTCTTCCTCCAACCCCACCCCCGTCCAATTCCCCTCCTCCAGCTTTGAGATTTCGACCAAAGAGTCAAACAGCCAAGAAATAGTAAACTCAGAAAAAGCCTTTGAGAAGACATTACAAAAGGTTGGCTAGAACATCCTTATCCTTATTTATTTATTTTTTTTTGGGCCAGGTAGTTCTAGTTGTCCTCCATTCCTATTTAGATTTACACGCGCGCGCGCACACACACACACACACACACACACACACACACACACACACTCCTACTCTTGCACATGGCAACATGATTTAGTAACCTTTTCAAAATTACCTTTTTTTTTTTTTTTCTCTCCCTTCCTCTGTTTCCACCTTTAAAACACTGGCAACATAGGTGGTTGTTAAAACTAGTAGAATATTGTGTTTTTTTTTTTAAACCAAAGGTACAATCTGTTGGGTCAAGTAGAAAGAAAAATAAAGGCCAGATGACTTGGGAGATGTGTCTATATATACAATTTATGCAGGTATCTTTGTATGTACACTCAGGCACCTTTACACTTATACATTTTTAATACTCTTATTACATATCTTTCTTCTTGTCTAATACATTCTTTTGTTCCTTTAACTTCCCCATTATTGTGTGTGTGTGTGTGTGTGTGTGTGTTAAGGCGCGAGTGCGTGCATTCACATGCACGCGCACACACACGCGCGCACACACACACATACATAGAATGTGACAGACAGCTTTCTTGTGGCCATCAGCACACGTTGCATATCCGGGGTCTTCTCCAGGCACATTGGGGGTCGATCCCGATAAAAAGATCTAGCAGAGGCCCCTGAGCGCTCACACATGAAAGGCAGGGGACTTTAAGGTGGATTTGCATGCACACAGGGGATTTCGATCAATAGCTACCAACATTTATGGCTTAGATTATTAATGTGAAAGCTGGCCAAAAGAATGGGGATGAAAAATTAAAGGTGTCTGTTATCAATTATGCTTAAAGTTATGCAATAATTTACTTACTTTGCCTGGATGTGCAGATCCAGATGTATAAAGTACTATTCTTCAAAAGCCAGGGGGTTTCTTTGATAAATTTGTTGACCATGTCAGCCGCCTCAACAATCAAAGATGAACCCAATTCAGATGATGGACTGTATTCAAATTCTTTTTTAAGAAAAGATATATCAACTTCTGTTTCTCAAATGCATATACATATGTGGGCAGATATGCCCAAATTAACATTTATGTGTGTATCCATCTCTAAGAGTACAGAGAATTACCTTATTGAGAATTTAGGAATATATATGATAAGCACGGAGTTTGTTAATTACATGTAATTATTTTCTCAGTAAGGAATGCACAATCTACTCACTATCATAAAAAGCATTTTAGCTTTGGAAACAAAGCTGCTGGCTAAAGGAAAATCCTCTGTGGCAAATACAGATAGAAGTATATTCTTAATGTCCTCTTACTTCTGCATTTGTTGTAGAAAAAAAAAACACAGTACTTTCAGTTTTTAAAGTGATGGGTTATGAAGATATGTACATATTTGTCTTTACTTACCCTGTATGAATGTGGTAAATTTACCTTCGGATGTTCTATTTTGATTTATTTTCACTGTATTTTATGTTTAAATACCATTGCAATTCAGTCTGACCTCTTTCCTCTGGAGCGAAGTAATGCACACGGCATTTACAGTCTTTTAAATGGTTAGCTGGGAAATGCAGTAGCAATTTGCAGGAGTAGTTTACTAATGGGGAAAGTTCTTTTGAAAACCTGAAGGAAAACCTAAGAGTACTTTTGCATTTCTACACTACAACTGTCATATAATTAAAGTATTGAAGAGCATTAAAATAATCCTTTTCCTTCCAAGCTTTCACCCATACACATATAATTTAAATGAGGATCATCCCCCCACATCACCATCACCACCACCTAACTCTTCACCATATACATTTGTTTTACTGATTACTGGGCACATTTTGTTCCAAGTGAATTCAGACAGAAAAGACTAAGGACATCACAAAGGCCTCAACAATGTAAGTATACTGGTTAGGAGAATAAAAGAAGCCCCTTGTACTGTTAGCCAAAAGTAATTATAATACATCTAACACATTCTAAAATAATAATAATACAAAGCCTCACATGGCTGAATTAATTTAGGATATAGGACAATAAAATCTTGTGATAGTCAACAGTTCCTCATCAAAATTCATCTAATTTCACATGCTTTCTACTTTTGGGGAGGGGAAAATGAGAATGGAGGAGGAAATGCTAAATTAAGGAGTAGCTTAAATTATAACTTAGTATATTTTCCTTAATTTTTTTCTTTTTGTCTCATCCACACAAATCAAGGCAAGTCTCCAAAAGGGCCCATCCTTCTGTTCTTAGGCATTTTGAAATCCTGTTTTTAATAGAAGTTTGGGACACAGAGTGTATGCCATGTTGTCTACTGACCCATAATCAAAATGCAGTGACCTTCTACCCTTTTTTTGCCCCCTGACCCATCTTGAATTCAATGCAGGCTTTATAAATTTGCAAATCCTTGGAGGTAAAGGGGTTTTTGTGAGGCTTTGTTCTGAAAAAGCCCTAAGAGTGTACTTTCTAAATTAGACAAAGGTAAAGCAACAAAACCTAGTGGACAAGATTTTATACAGGTGAGCAATAGACAACTCTTCAGTTAACATATATTGTAAGCTAAAAAGCAGTTATAAACATGGGAGACAAGAAGGTTATACATTGCATTAAATTAGAGTGTGGTACAAATCTCTTTCATGATGTAAGAAATGGTTAGGCCAC